TTGGCAAGGCGTTGAACAACAACAACAATCATGTGCTTGACATTTCGAACATAAATCTGGTGCAGCATGGTGCAATATACAGGTTTGCAGTTGGTCGTTGGTTCAGTTCAGAAGGGGCAAATTCGTGAAAAACACAATGCAACACAATCTTGCAACCGGACCTACCTATCCGTTGCAGGAGTGCGATGTTGGTGTCACCTGCATGCTGACTGCATTCATGGCTGGGGTAGGGGCAAAATGTTAACGCCGCAAAAACTATCCATCATTTTGTTTACATTCACTAGGATCTTGTTTGCTTTGTCGACTGTTAGTGACATGTCAAAAAAATCCCGGTGCTGACAGGCCAACAAATGTCCAATTTTCGCTATCTAAAGGAAACTTCTTGAGCTCTTCGAGATGTGTGTGAATTTTCCCAAACTTGTGAATCTGCAGGCATTTTGTGCAGTTGGACCTGGACATGTCCCAAAACTGAGGGTCCATTTTATCAGGAAAAACACGTTCTGCGCTGAGGATTTGATGGTGCAATTAGGTCCACCTCCACAGGAAATCCTTGCTTTGTCCTCAGTGCCTTGAGGTGCACAATTTTCTTGACAGAAGGGAAATTTGGAGTCAGAAATGGCGAAATCCTACATCTGCAGACACAGACATGGCGATGTTGTCTCATTCTTGTCCAAAAATAAAAGGACCGGATAACCCCACATGCCAAGCCTTTATGTATGTAAGATTTTAATGTGAACTTCGGGGAGGTGAGAAGTGAGGTGTGAGAAGTGGACTTGTGATGTCAGGTGTGAGAAGTGGAGCTGTGATGAGTTCTGATGTGATAAGTGGGGTGTGAGAAGGGGCGTGAGACGTGGAGCTGTGATGGGATAAGTTGTGATAAGGTGTGATGAGAAGTTGTGATGTGATAAGGGAGCTGTGAGAAGTGAGGTGTGAGAAGTGGAACTGTGATGAGTTGTGATGAGAAGTGGACCTGTCAGAAGTGGAGCTGTGAGGATTTGTGATGAGCAGTGGAGCTCTGTGTATTGCGCCTGCCACGCCAGGCTCTGTGTCTGTGTACGGCTGGCCGCCAGGCAAAAGGCAGCCGCGGGCCAGCGGCGGCCATCGCGCCGCAGCTCCGCCTTGAAGTGCTGTGTACGGCTGGCCGCCAGGCAAAAGGCAGCCGCGGGCCAGCGGCGGCCACGCGCGCCGCAGCTCCGCCAGGAAGTGCTGTGTACGGCTGGCCGCCAGGCAAAAGGCAGCCGCGGGCCAGCGGCGGCCACGCGCGCCGCAGCTCCGCCAGGAAGCTCTGTGTACTGCGCCTGCCACGCAAAAGGCAGCCGCGGGCCAGCGGCGGCCACGCGCGCCGCAGCTCCTCGAGGAGGCTCTGTGTACTGCGCCTGCCACGCAAAAGGCAGCCGCGGGCTCTGTGTACTGCGCCTGCCACGCAAAAGGCAGCCGCGGGCCAGCAGCGGCCACGCGCGCCGCAGCTCTGCCAGGAGGCTCTGTGTACTGCGCCTGCCACGCAAAAGGCAGCCGCGGGCCAGCGGCGGCCACGCGCGCCGCAGCTCCGCCAGGAGGCTCTGTGTACTGCGCCTGCCACGCAAAAGGCAGCCGCGGGCCAGCGGCGGCCACGCGCGCCGCAGCTCCTCGAGGAGGCTCTGTGTACTGCGCCTGCCGCGCAAAAGGCAGCCGCGGGCTCTGTGTACTGCGCCTGCCACGCAAAAGGCAGCCGCGGGCCAGCGGCGGCCACGCGCGCCGCAGCTCTGCCAGGAGGCTCTGTGTACTGCGCCTGCCACGCAAAAGGCAGCCGCGGGCCAGCGGCGGCCACGCGCGCCGCAGCTCCTCGAGGAGGCTCTTTGTACTGCGCCTGCCACGCAAAAGGCAGCCGCGGGCCACCGGCGGCCACGCGCGCCGCAGCTCCTCGAGGAGGATCTGTGTATTGCGCCTGCCAAGCTCCGCCTTGAAGCTCTGTGTACTGCGCCTGCCACGCAAAAGGGAAGTGTGGAGGCTCTGTGTACTGCGTGAGTGAGTGAGTGAGTGGGTGAGTGAGTGGGTGAGTGAGTGAGTGAGTGAGTGAATGAGTGAGTGAGTGGGTGAGTGAGTGAGTGAGTGGCAGTGAGTGAGTGGCAGTGAGTGAGTGGCAGTGAGTGAGTGAGAGTGAGTGAGTGACAGTGAGTGAGTGACAGTGAGTGAGTGACAGTGAGTGAGTGGAGTGACAGTGAGTGAGTGAGTGAGTGAGTGAGAGTGAGTGAGTGAGTGAGTGACAGTGAGTGAGTGACAGTGAGTGAGTGACAGTGAGTGAGTGACAGTGAGTGAGTGAGTGAGTGAGTGAGAGTGAGAGTGAGAGTGAGAGTGAGTGTGAGTGTGAGTGTGAGTGTGAGTGAGAGTGAGAGTGAGAGTGAGAGTGAGAGTGAGAGTGAGAGTGAGAGTGTGAGTGAGTGAGTGGCAGTGAGTGAGTGGCAGTGAGTGAGTGGCAGTGAGTGAGTGGCAGTGAGTGAGTGAGTGAGTGAGTGACAGTGAGTGAGTGAGTGACAGTGAGTGAGTGAGTGTGAGTGAGTGAGTGAGTGAATGAGTGAGTGAGTGAATGAGTGAGTGACAGTGAGTGAGTGACAGTGAGTGAGTGACAGTGAGTGAGTGACAGTGAGTGAGTGACAGTGAGTGAGTGACAGTGAGTGAGTGACAGTGATTGAGTGACAGTGATTGAGTGACAGTGAGTGAGTGACAGTGAGTGAGTGACAGTGAGTGAGTGACAGTGAGTGAGTGGAGTGACAGTGAGTGAGTGAGTGAGTGAGTGAGAGTGAGTGAGTGAGTGAGTGACAGTGAGTGAGTGACAGTGAGTGAGTGACAGTGAGTGAGTGACAGTGAGTGAGTGACAGTGAGTGAGTGACAGTGAGTGAGAGTGAGAGTGAGTGAGTGAGTGAGTGAGTGAGTGA